GCCATCGCTCTTAGGTTGGAGGCCATTGCTGGTAGGTTGGAGGCCATTGCTATTAGTATCTCAAAAGAATATTGCAAAGCAATTTCTTCCTCCTCGCGACCTGGGCGTCCTCATGCTCGTCCTCGACGCCAGGTCTTCGACTTCTTGAGGAACTGCAGGAGAAGGAGACTTGACGTGCACCAGCTGATCCTGCGCTGTCTAATTTGGGGGTAGGTATATCCTCACACATCGTCACCACCAATGTTGCGGGCTAAAGCAAGTTGTGGTTGTGGAATGTTGTGGAGATGTGTAGACAGTACAGGTACCAGGAAAGAGTTGGTTTATATAGGCCGTAGCAAGAAATGGTTAACCGGTGCACAGCTGATAGACAAGATCGGAGCATGAGACCAGACCAAATTGAGGCAGAGATGTTGTCAGCTTATTCCTTTGCAACAGAGTTCAGCTACTTCCCAGCAGCTTCCTGCCCAAGGCAATCCTACCCGATGTCTTGACCTTCAACACTGCAATCGCTGTGAACCGCCAAAGGAAGCCAGTGGCAACTTGTTTCCAGACGGACCAAAGAAACCGAGCGAAAGAAACGGACCGAGTGCGCAGTGTGTCTTTCGCCTTTGGACCATGATGGGTCTTTGGTCTTGGGATGTCCTTGGCGAATCCAGCTACACAGTCTTGACAGCGGACGCTTGGCTGGCCTGCCTTGTCGGTCTCGCAAAACGACGGCAGATCTCTCCCAATTGCAAACCGAGGTGAACAAGTTGCTCGCTGCAATGCGATCGAAGAATCTGGTGCCTGATGCTCTCTGGGCTTTGGTTTGAGTGGAACTAGCAATTGGACCGTGTTGCAGACAGTTTGTGTTCAATCTCTTTCTCAACAGGCCTGAGGGGTAGCAAGGGTAGCAGAGCTAGTCGTTTGACTCGCAGAATCAGCTCGTCTATCTCTTTTCGGTTGGTGTGGAGTCTCGCTTTTGCCCCCTAGTTCCAAAAGTATTTCATGACGAAAGTCTAAGGGGTTCTTTGATTGTCCGTGGGGTTGAAACTTGCGATCCAAGGTCATCAGCTACAACAGCGCGATTAGTTCTTGCCAGGCGTTTCTCCAACGACTGGTCAAGAGTCAATCTCCTTCCACTTGAACCCGAGTCTCTGATAGAAAGGCTTCTAGAGACTGAATCCCACGAGCTAGAGCCCTGATATCTCAAGAGATCATGCTGTTCTGGAGGCAAATTCAGATTGGCACGATGCCCTGCAGTTTTTGGATGAGATGTACCTGTCTTCAGTTCCAGTGGACCGCATCAGCGCCATGGCAGGTGAAGCTGATTGGGAGCATTAGGTGCATTCCGATTTGTTCACCTTAAGAATGTTCACCTTGCCTGTTTAATAGTCACCTTAAGAATGCGACATGTTTATTTTTTTCCAGGCCCAAGTATCTTAGCACAAACTTGTCCAGCCGAAGTGATTCCTGCCTAGAAACACCGATTCCACTGTGCCTCGTGCGCCGATTCCAGCGTTGGCCGAGGTTACAATGCTGTATTGAGTTGCTGCTTTGCTGCCTCCCAGTGGCAGAAAGTCTTCCAGCTGCTTGATGCCATGGTGGCGGCTGGGATGGCTGGCGTCTTGGCCAAAAGCATGTGCAACCTGATTCCCTCCTTGAATTGCAAGTCCGATTGTGGACTGCAGAGGATGGCATCATGTTCAAGTTCCCGATGTGCTTTGAGATTTCACTTGTTTTGGTTCGCAGGCACTCGTGAAAAAGCGGACCTTTCACCTGATCAGTTATACCAAGCACCATCAAGAACCCACGCCTCTTCTTGACCCGTGTCGCTTTCAGCCCAGGCTTCACGGCCTCTCGCTATGACCACCAGTCACAGGCTGGCAGTGCTCTGGAGCCTGGGCTGTGTTCAATCGTTGCAAGCGGGAAAGCATTCAACGAAACCTGGGCGAAGCCTTTCGACAGGCTCACCGAACTCAGCCCGGGCGGAACTTGGCTCCCCAAAGATTCAAGCTGCGCAACACCTGTGGCGCCAAGGACTGCTTCAAACACTCTGTGCTCGTCGCTTTGCTTCAGCGCTTCGCCCAGGAGATGAGTCAGGCTGCTTAGGAAGATCAGCAAAGAGCTTGTTACTTTAGGAGCAAAGGGTCTTCTCACCTTGCAAGAAGAAATGCTAAAGTCAGCATCCCATCGATAAGAGTTCTTCTGAGTGTTGTGCACATGTAGTCCACCTTCATTTGTATTGGCAAGCAGCAGGACCCTGCTCCTTTCACGTATGTGGACACGCATGCTGGGCGTGGTATCTATGAGCTGGCAGAAGATGTGTCTTGGATGTTCTTGGCATTTGTTTTGCTTTACTGAGACTGTTCTAGAGCTGCCATAGTATGCCGCCCAACTGTTTCGTATGCCTTGGAGCTTGAAGGTCCTTCTCTTCAAGGAGGCTCTTTAGATTTCCACCAAATAATGCTTGATTGTGTTTCATACAAATGCCTACCATCCACTGGTGCTGGTGCTGCTGGTGCTTTCATGTACTAAAACGTCTCGTTTTGTGGGGGGGCCTTTGGGGCATCTCTCTTGGTTTGAAACACCTTTGTCTGGACAACCCTGGACGACCTCCAGGGAAACTTTCGGCATGGCATCACGCGGCTGGTCGCCAACAATACCTCTTCTTTCAGGCTCAGAATTGATCGTTTGTCGCAGGTCTCATTTTGCCAACAGATGTCAGACGGGAGATGGAGGGAGCAATTTGCTTGGAACATGACAGCATAGTCGTTGTCATGTGGTCCTTATTGTTGGATTTCCCAGCAAGACTTGTGCAACATGGCACCCTTCGCCCATTGCACTCTCAATATGAGATGCCCTCCTACTTGTAGTGGATATCCCGGGATGTCCCGAGTCCCGACATGTGCTCAAATTGTCCATCTATGGGATCTACAAGGATCTATGGTATATTCTCTCGAGCTTCTCTTCAATTAAAGGTGCAGGACAAGCCACACCTGGGGTTCTGTGTGACGTGCCGAATTTGAAGCACAGCAGGTGCGGGCCATTGGCAGAGTTTCTGGCAGTGCAGCAAAAGCTTTTCCAAGGAGAGCTGCTTTTGAGCCTTTGCATTGTAAGCGATGGAAGAAGGCAGACCTCAAGCTGAAGACGCAGGAGCCCCCCCTTGCGAATCGCCAGTACATGGGCTCTGCTTGCTTGTCTTTGCTGTACTTGCGGCCACATGACGAGGTTTGGTTCCCGACTTTGTAAGGGTGACCTTGAGCACAACACTGCTTGTTGTTCTTTGCGAAAGAAATGGGTCCAAGTAGCTGGGCTGTTGGGGAAGTCCAGCACCTTCAGACATATCCAAAGAGCTTGATGGTTTGAGGCAGTTTGCTTCGAATACGCATCAGAGATGAAAAGTGAATTGGTGGCAGCCTCAGTGTCAACCATTTCAGAAGAAACAGTTACAAGACCGTGCAGCTGTTTTCCTAACAGCTCTACTTCTTCTCAGATCGTTTCTCCCTGCTTCTTCCAAGCTCCATCCATCTTCGCACCCAGTTCCGTTTCCGGCAACGGAATGTTCCGCTGATGCTTTTTGTGCTGAGGTTCAAAACTTCGACCGCATGAAGTCCGACTGTCATGGGCGAACCAGGGTCTTTCAGGAGACACGGCAGGTGTGAGAAAGGTGGCCAAGTCGGAATGGGAGTTTCCTGGAAATAAAGGAACACGACTGAGGAAAAGTTGTCAAAAGAGAAGCGGTAGAAGCCACAGCATACAGCCTGCGGTACGTTGATTGTCCTAAGCTGTCAAACAACTAGTGACTGAGTGGCTGGGAGGAGAACTCCTATTGGTGGCTGCTGCACCATTTGTCAGACGAAGCCTGGCCCGGCTATAACACTGTCTTCGACCACTGACCAAACCTTGCTCTTGAGCTTTTGGGAGCTTTGCATCAGAACAGAATCTGAAAGCCTTCCACAGTGCCTCTCACCTTCCACCTTGTTTTCGAAAGAACAAGAATCAGTCAGCTCAGCTTGGGATTTGCTGGGCCCCCCCGAGGGCTTGACACGCCGTGGCTTGGTCTTCATGGATCCACCGTACGAGCCCTACGACGAATACATGGCCTGGAACTTGTACGTGATGAGGCCCAAAGCTGGGGTGAACTGCAACAAATGCTGTGTCTTGTGAGGTCGTTTGAACCAAGAATCTCACAGAGATGTGCACAATTCTTGCATCGTGAAGCAGCACTTTCTGATGCACAACAGTTCAAAATAGAGGAGTTCTGAGATGAGAAAAATGGAAGAGAAGTCCTCCAGAAAAACACGTCGTTCTTCTTTGTTCTGGACGAAAGACTTCGTGAAGAAACGGTGGCCTTTGGGGGTTCCTTGATCCAGAGGCACGTGTACCACGCCTGGCCTGGCTCATGCATCGCAGCGCCTCAGACTGCAGCAGCCAGGTTTCGCAGAAGGTGTCCTTTGATGTCATTATGAGCTGAAAGTGTTCAGCTCAGTGAGAAGCAATCTTGTGGTGTGATTATCCACATGTCAGGTGTGGTATCCATGCTTCACAGACGAGCAGACAGAGAGCTTTTACTTGCAACTGCAGCACCTGGAACCTCGTTGAATCTTTCATCCGTGCAACTTTCAATCGGGATGAGACGTCAAAACAATGGTGCTCAAAAGTTATGAAGAGATCGGAGATGGTATGTGGATCTATATCTTTGTGATTCTTCCGGAGTGTTTGTGTTTGTGTGTGTCAGGATCCATTCAACATGATTCAACATGTCCCATAGATTCATGTGATGGCTTTGTCTCTTCCAAATTACCACTTCCAGGTGGTCGTTGGGTTGTCATCAACCTCGTAGAAGCTTGTAGCCAGCGTAGCCTCGTTGGTTGCCCAGAAATCCTGCGCCTTGCGCTCTGAGGACGTCGGTGATGTTTTGATTGCTGACTTTGGCCTGCCCACCCAGGCGCGCCAGCTTTTGGCCCAACGCGCGGAATGAGCTTCAAAATGCTTCAAAATTGCTTGGACTTCCAGACTTCTAGAAGGTCTTGCATGGTCCAGGTGTTTGAGTTCCCAACGGTTCATCATATGAATCAAATGAATATTGTGGGTCTTATTTTGAGCCACGCTCCACATCATCCAAGTCTGGAGGAGCGTTCCTTGCAGCGCTCCGCCCTAGCCATCCTGCGACCTCCCAGCGAGAGTCGTGAGCAGCTGCTGGAGCTGCTGACCGAGCTGGGGCAGCTTATGGGAGGCAGGAGATGTGTGATCCTGCCAAGTGGAATCCAGGTCAAAAGTTGACTTGTGCATCGAATTTCCCACTGCGTGGGCTGCACCTTCTGACCTTTGCAAAGCACAACTTCCAGGTGCCGCCGTGAAAGTCTTTTGGCTCTCGGAATGGCTTGAGAGAAACTTGCAGAGCTGAGTGAGCACCCCTTCGCCAAAATTCACAACTCTAAATCGTCCATGCAAGCTGTCTGTTGAGAGTGTTGGTACTTGAAGTCTATGAAGTCAAAATGTACTCCATGTGTCTTAAAGCCTTTCTCGTTGGCTCATGGCCTTTGAGCCCTTCCGCAAACAATGGCCACCAGCAAAAACAGTAGCCAGACGCCCACTTAGTCACCAAGCAGTGTCTCTGGATAACACAACTTTTGATGAAGTAACAGGTTGCTTGCTTTGGAATGCCCAGGTCCTTTTGGACTGGGGGTTTTCGGATGAGTAAAGCTGCTCCTGTGAGAATCACTCACAGTAGAGCTGCATCAATTGTTTATATGAGCAAATAAACATGATTTCAAGCCTTGCATTCGAGCGCGGACAGATCACTCGTCCCCCAAAAGTCACCGTCTTGCGTGGTAAACCGGACTGTTGTGTGGAGCAGAATCATCCTCCCTTGTTTTGCTGGTGGGATGGCACCCTGGAACCAAGCAGTTGCTGGAGCTGAATGAACCACATCTCAGGGTGCTTCGATCTCCTGAGATCTCCTTTTCAATCAGTTTTGGAAAGCGAAGTGAAGGGTCGGTCTATCGTACATCGAAATACTTCCTGGTTTTGAGAAAGACAATCCTCTCAACCCTGTCGGGCTGCTTCTGTGTTTGTTTAGGACAGGTGAGCATTGTATAATGTATAAGATTTCAAATATGATACGCACGGCGCCCAGTGGCCAAAGGAAGATACGTCAAAAGCTGCAGGATTGTGAGTGTTGCAATCATCAAGATTTTTGTGTGTATGGAAATCGGGAGATTCCGAGCAAAAGTCATTTAAAACTCATTGGTTGGGGGGGTCGCCCTTTCAATATTGGAAAATTCCTAATTCACCATATATTGGGTGTTTTTTGCATATGCTTGTTGCATCCGCCTTGCATCGATCTCAAATTGCTCGACAGCCTGCGTCAGGATCTTGAGCGCCCCAACCTCAGTCCGGATGGTCATGTGTTCATCATGTGTTCATTGCGCGTGAATTAGTTTAAGGGTGACGACAACCTGGCAAAGCAATCAAATTGACCTGGAATTTAATGGTCATTGTTTCTTTGAGAAGTTGTCCCTGCGGGGGAGCAACACAGACTCCGTTGCAAGTGGCTCTCGTGACTCTAGTGTTTCAAAGTAGTCACCTCCTGGTGCTCTTGACGTTGCCACTCTTGTTACTCGTAGCTGCAGAAAGGTGGTGTTTGATGTTTGATGTTTTTACACCTTATGTTCCTTTATCTTTGGAGCAGCAGCAAGGTGGGGAACACTCTTCATGGAATTGTAGTAACAAGAGTGCACCTGGCCAGATCCAAGAGCTTTTTGGGAGAGGGGGGAAGGGCTTGGAGCACTGACTATTCCACGGAATCTGCACATGCGCAGCAAAACCAAAGGCTTGCTGATTGACTATCAAAACAGCTGGTAGCTGTTGCCCTTGCGGTGAAAGAGAGCAGGGTCCTTGTTTTTTCTAGTGCAGTTCATGCAGGCAAAGATCCACTGGCAGAGATGGATTTGCAAAAAGTCCTGGCGCAGTACTTGGTAAACCAGGCTGACACGTTCGACATGTCGCACGAGTGGAACATTCATTCAGTTGCCAGATAGACTACGCATAATAGTGTGTGTGCGTATCTCTTCTCCGTGCTCCTTGTACATACAGAAGAGAACAGAAGAGCAAAGTCTTCACAGGAGCAAAATTACCAGTTTGCATCCACCCCACCCAGCCGTTACATTGATTGGCTTTGCTTCACTGTACGAAACACCAGTTGTCAACCGTCCCATCATGTACTATGAAGCATCTCTAAAAAGGAGAAAGAACGCAGAAATGACCTCCAAGCGTTCTGCAACATCAAGAGAAGTACAATGATGAGTAAGAGGCAATATGGCAATATGCGGTAAACCTTGTGCTGCTTAAAAGCAGCCAGAATCTGCACGGTGTCGCTTCTGCTCATAGCGTTCAGGAATGTCAAGATCCGGAACTTCGGCAGCGCATGATGCAAGCCATCCAAGAGGCCCACGGTTGGTGCTCGAGGCTTTTTTTCCCTCGTAGGTTTGGGATTGGCACACGGGGCATCCTGCCTATGCTGCGTGTTTAAATGTGTTTAAGTAGTAAGTGAAAATCATTGAATCATTGGCGATGGTGCACCAACCATTCTATTTATATACATGTCATGTGTCATGTTATTGCTTAAGCATCGAGCGAAGAGATATTCAAGGAGAAAGACCGATCATACAGGTTCCAGACATCCAGTCCAAACATCATTTGAATTGTTTTGCTCCCTAAATCATCTCACACCTTGAGTTGATCCATCGCTCACGCATGCAGGCGAGCTCTTTGGTTAGCATGAGTGGAGGATATGCGCAGTAGATGGGACTTGGACTCCTTGTCGCATCTTGTCACATCTTGTCGCATCTACAAAAGGCTTTTTGGAGAAAGGGAGAGCTCAGCTTCATGATCTTCATGGCTGAGTCCCAGAGTTCTCGATGCGTCTCCCAAACGGGAACCTCGCCCAATCGGTGACCGATGAGACGAGCAAAATGGTGACCGAAGGACGGACCGAGCGGAATGTCTCCGTTTTCAGTCACAGACGCTGCAGACCACACCTTGGTGGATGATTGCCGGCACTTACAGGCAATGCAGGGATTAATGCCATGTTACAGTAAATGTTTGGGGGGCGCCGAAGTCAGTCAGGCATATAAAAACCTGTGGGTGTCTTGTCATGCTCAGACCCGCTTTACGGGGAAAAGAGTTCATTGAAGGTCTGCAGCATGGTTGACCAAATGTGGACCACCGGACAGTAGCGGTCCGGACAGTACAGGTTTAGCGATCAACAAGATTCGCCAGACCCAGATAGCACGGGCACTTGGAACACCTTGGAACATCTTGTGCCCTTTGGCAGCGCCATGGGACAATCCATTGCAGTGGGCAGCCTAGCTGGCTTTGCTGGCCATGGGACAATCCGCAAGACTCACATGTGGCATGCTTGGCATGCATGTCCACTGAGTGGCGCCATTGTCGCAGCTTGTAGGGACCCAACCAAGTGGATGTTCCTACACTCCACAGGTAGGACATCCGGATGTCTCCCACTTCCCCTGAGCCGAGGCCTCCAGGTCTGCACCAGACGTGGAGCCGAGCAAGAAGGCCCTCCGGAGTGGGAGACGTCGGGTCTGCCGTTGACGGGAGAAACGTACAGAGCTGATCTGCCAGTTGGGCCAAAATGGGGAAAAACGTACAGGAGGATGTTCCGTTTCTGTATGATCTGTATATGTGTGTGTGTGTTCCTCGTTCTGAACTTTTGCCTTTTTGAAGAACTGCTTTTGTTACCTTTTAGGTATTGAACCCTTGCCAATTTCAACGGGTCTCCAACTCCAAAAAGTAGCTGCCAATTCCTTCATCAATTTCATCCGTGTTCCGTGTTCAAAACCTATTGTCTCTGGGTTCTGCGCAAACCCCTAGACAACCACAGTGCTCGGAACGCGTGGGCGCTGCGCCAAATAGCCAGGACCCGTGGCTCCCTCCAGGCTCCTATGCCATTGACCCGGCGAAGCCACATCGGAAGCCATCCAACTCCTGTATCTTGTTGCAGGAAAGCAGCAGACCAACGCGGTACTTGTACAAGAAGCTACTAGTAACAAGGGCATTTCTACTAGGAGCAAGAAGCTACTAGTAGTACAATCTAGGGGAATCGGGCAAATCTCCATGCAACGTGCATCCTTGGCCAAAACTGTGGCTTTGGAAGGAGCCCAGTATTGTCTTTAAACAGATAAGGCGATTGAATACCTAGCCAAGATTGATCTGCAAGCGTTAGTTTTTGCTGCTGTTCCTTTTGTTGGCATAGATTTATCTTAAGTGACAGTACAGGCATCCTGGGTTGCTGCCAAATGCCAGCACTGTATCAAGGGCTCAGCAGACATGGAGGAATCCACTACTTGTGGTTCCGGATGAATAGCTGCGCAATGGTGCCTGGTCCTAAGGGTCATTTCCTCGCTTTCGCAAGGCTCAGAACTGCATCTCACCTTCTGTGACAGCTCAGGTACTCGAATCCGTGAGGACGGGCAGGGGCGATGCTGTGGTCGCTGCGACGGTCTGTGGTGCTTTGAAGACTTCCATGATGTGCTTCAAGATGCATCGGCACGATGTCAGGATATGCTGCAATGCTACCAAGGCACGCGTTGCTACAAGGAAGGTGCAAGCTTTGAGGAGATGGGGGGAAGGTTGCTTGGGTTTGTTCGTGTAAGCACGAGTTCCCAGCTGGAAGCCTCATTTATATAGGTCATGTCAACTGCGCCGCATGCTCATTGAATCATCGCTGGTTTTGCACACGCTGCAACTTCACCAGCCGGTTAAATTAATCAATGGTAGTTTGATCGTAGTATCTACACCACCTGACACACAAAGTATCCCACCATTTACAGGTGAACAAAGCTTCACATCAATCATAGCAAGCGGGGGGGCGCAATGATGTTTTGCAAAGACATAATGTTGGGTTGATGCCTAGACCAGACGTCCGTATTCTTAAAGACTTCTTGGAGCATAATATAGATGCACCCGGCTATTGCTTTGCACCGGTTCAGGTTGTCCAAACCTAAAAGAGAAACCCTCAAAGGATGTTGAATCCGCTTTTGAGTTCACGTAGCCTTTGGTTAAAGCGTCCGATTTTGGTTTTGTAACCAGAGACACACATGTGGTCGAGTGTCAAAAAGGACTTCTTCTTGGCCACCAGTTGGATCTCGTTTCATAATAAGTGTAAAAAAATATATATATATATAAAGAGAGAGAGAGAGAGTAGTTCTGCAAGAATGTGGCCACCAGTTTTACAACGGCTAAATGGCGGGTTACTCCACAGCCGGCAGGAGTGTTTGAACTCAAACGACCCGGAGTATGTCACACAAGATTGCATTTGGTTGCGGAAGGCGCCGTCACATGCGACCCGGTCAACTAGACAAGATGGCTTGTTTGGGTCGGCCGGAGGTGAAGGTAATTACATGGGTTATATAATGCATTCAGATCAACACAACAACAACAACAAACCAAGAGCAGCAGGAGCAGCAGCAACAACAACAACAACAGTTTCTATAGACCGAAGCCACCTCTAGGGACATCCAGACTGAGGAAGACAAAATGTGTCCTTCATACGCCAGGCAGCTGCCTAGGCCGTGGTAGATTCGCAGCGAATCGATTCTGCCCAAAACGGTCGACCTGACCCTTGCCCCCTGTGAGGGCTATGCCCAGTGCCGCCGGGACCTCATGAACAGGCGCAGAGCCCGCGTGCGAGCCGGCTGAAGGGTGCTGAAGGGTCCCAGAAACGGTCCAAAAAGGGTTGATCAGGGTTGGAGAGATTAGGGGTTTAGACTTCAAGGCAGACTGCTCCAAAACAGATATAAAACACAAATGCTGAAGTGTCAGCGAGTTTCTACTTTGCATCAGGCAGACTCGATTCGCCATTCGCCTTTGAGGCACCGGATTTGGCAGCGTGGCAATCGTTCTGCGTAGGGCGACCACGAAAAGAGCGCGCGGCGCAACGCAGCGAGGAAAATCGACGGAAAGAGCCCGGCATAGCTCAGCTCTTCGTTGTGTGACTTCGATGGAGGTCTTTCATGGAGTCTATTGCAGCGCACGTCTTTTGCTAGCGTTGTGCAACTTGTCTTTTTACCCAAGCTTTGTTCAATCAGTGCCGGTGTTACAAAAGAACATTGAGCAATGCGCTTGCAACCAAAGATGTTAGTAACTGAAGTAAATGCACTGACTCAGGGACCATTGAGGATCCAGTGGAAGCTTGGAACGATGTAGACAATATGTCCAGCATGGCATCGCAGGGCGTTGGCTGCAGAGCCATGGTGAAGACGTAGAACCGAACCTGATTGCTATGGAGGAAGAGCCGCCTCCGCCGCCTGTGCCGCCTGCTCCACCGCCGCCACCTCCACCACCATCAGAGGAGAAGGACCAACACGCCAGTCCAAAAAAGATGCTTAATCAAAGTTTCAGCCTCTCAAAGATCTTGTGCATGTTGTTCATTGATTATAGTATGAATCATTATGAACTAGTGTTGGTCTTTGATGGGTCAGAATTCATCAATCTTGAGTGAATCATTGCTTGTGTGATTTCTACTTCTTACTCTTTGCTTCGTCCGCATAGCGACTCACCTAGGAAAGCTGGTCAGGGCTTCGTGGTGAACACCAGCGACTGTGTGGGAAAATCCTCCAAAGACCTATTCTCCTATGTCGCAGCATCTCTGGGCTGCTCAGATTCAAGACTGTCTTTGAGACACTGTCTCTGAGGTTTGCAATTGTCACCCTCATGTAACATGTTGAAAAAAACAAGAAAAATAACGCAAGCTCCATGGAAAAGCGAGCATCCCAAATCAACACCTGGTGTGTTCATCCTAGTCAGGTTACCCCAACCTCCAGGCCTGCCCTTCTTGGACCAAGACAGCTGTCCAAGGCTGGAAAGAGGTGGATCTGCCCGATGCCAAAGTGCGACCCAGCATCTTTTGTGCTCCTCGCCCTCTCCAAACGACCGTTGGGTGCTTGATGAAGCCTTGTTGTGTTCCAGAGGGCTGATCTTTGGTCAAAGGTGTTTGTCAAATGTAACTTGCTAATGGTTCCTCATGTCATAGGATTTGGCAGGGATCCTTGCAAATTGAATGAGCACGCGGTCAACACTCAGTGAGCTTCCAGAGTGTTCGTTCTCATCAAGATTGAAATCTAGAGAATCAATCAATAAAGACCCAGACTGTTTGTTCAGGTACAGGTGACAAAACACCTCTGATAGTCAACATGAGCGTAGACACCCACCATCCAGGTCATGCAGAGTGCAGATTTGTTGAAGCGCTTACCCTTGAGCCCCCAGAGCTGGGCTTCTCGATATCTTGGAGCGCCGGATGTTTGTGACAAAGGCAACTTCGCGCGGATGCTGCGGGCGACCAGAAGCCTTTGCTGCTTGATTGAGCACAAGAGAATCGTGAGCACAAGGTAGTTTTGGAAAACGTGTGCTGCTTGTTGAAGAGCTGGACAAGATTGACTCCTGCCCCATGCTACAATAGATGATATATGTTATTCATGTTATTCAATGATATGTGTGAAAGGTAGTTGTTAAATGTTCAATCATTCAGGATGAAGGGCGGTTGTATAGATGTTCAGGGGCTATCTGAAAGATTCAGGACACAATGCTGATCTAGAAGATCAACGGCTACTTCAAGGGCTAGTAATTAGTTGGGATGGGAGTTGACACCAAGGCTCAGAAGACTACTTCTCCTTCTCGCCCAAAACCTGGGTCTTGCCGGAAGAGCTAACAGATTTGCGCAGTACCTTGGAGAAGTCCAAAGGAACTTTCATCGTGAAACCTGAAGATGGCTCTCAGGGAGAGTCTTGGCCAGGTCGAATTCTGCTATTGCTGTGTATTTCTTGTTTTCTGTTTTATGCATTCTCTTAAGAAAAAAAAGACACTGGCCAGCCTCGCCTCTGAACTCTGTGTGCGGGTGTTGTCCTCCCTTTGTGTTCTTCTTCCCGTTCTCCTGCTGTTGTCCTCCTGCTGTCCTCTGGCCGTCTGGCGCCGCGCTGGCGACGGCAGCCATGGCCACGCCGTCCGTCTCTTTCTTTACCGCCTTGTCCGGGCCTTGTGCAGGTCTGTTTGTCCTGCTTGGCCGCGCCGTGGCTTTGTTTCGGCCTGTGCCTGCTTGGCCGTGCTTTTGTCCCGTTCTCTATCGCCTTGTCCGGGTGGATTTTCTTGTGGATACGAATGCAACAGTGATGGAGCGTTTCAAATTTGATATCATTCTTGGATTTGTCCAACATTGACATGCAAGGAATTGACGCAAAAATCCTGCTGAAACTGTTTAAAGTTTGGGGTCTATTCTGGTATACTGTAACTGTAACTTGTTTGGGAAGGCAGGTCGTGAGGTGAGGCGTGAAGAGGCAGAACAGGTACTAGTAGCATCCGGACGCGGTAGACGGTAGAGCAAGGGTGTTTGAAACGGTTCCAAGATCAAACCACATGATGCCATCCACAAATCACAAACCTTCTTCATGTTCAGTCTTCTGCTTTACCATGAGTACGTTGCCCGGAACTTCTTTGTCAACACCTGGCTGGGTTTCGGAACTCCCATACTGACATGAGCTAGGTGAAATTAACAAAATTGGTACATAGTCAATGAGTGGCCGTGGGATTTCCAAATGCAGGTGCTGCTCAAAAAACGATGCTCTTCAGCCACACGGTAGGTTTTCACTGTCGGTCAGATCGGTCCCATCTTAGGATGGAATCTTTCTGGTGCGCGGCTTGAGAAACTTTGACGTCAAGATTTCAACACAAGCTCCCAAAGCTGTGGTCCAGAAGTACATCAGTAGCCTGGTTCACAGCAGACGTTTGGTCACTCTTTTTAATGTTGTTACGGTAGATTGAGAAGGGCTGAGTGCGTGTTTTTCTGCAACGTTTGGGTTCGGGTTCATCCCTTGGGCCAGTGCATGAAATTTCAGGCAAACCTTTGCTCTTGGGCAGCCTCAAGTTTGACTTGCGCATGTACGTCTTGGTGGCAGGGGGGGTGCTCTGATTCTCCACCAGTGGTTCTCAGCTGGGCAGTCAGCATGTGTTCTCAAAGAATGAATTGTTTTAGGAGAAAGAAGAAGGTCCAGAGGCCTAAAGAAAAAGACAACAGACTTCCAACAAAAAAGCAAGTTTCTAAGAGAACCTGCCACTGTTACAACCTGCCACTGCGACCTTGGAGTCGGGGTTGGTGACCTAAGGTTCAGCTTTGTCGGGAAGGCCTCGCTCGCTTCTGCACAGAAGCCTATGAGTCTTGGCACCATGAGCACTCGCCTAAGGCTCTAAGGGGCAGGTTGATGATTCATTTTAGAGGGCGGTGAGGCATTAGGACGAGTTTTGCTCAGTCTATGGCATGGGTGATCATAGTTGATCTAAATCTGAAATGATGAAAACCCACTTTGGTTTTACATACTGTCACTGTCACAGGTTGACCTCATGATCATCCTCCATGTCAACAGATTGTAAGGTTGCAATTGGTTGATTTTGTTTGAGCAAATGGGAGCGGAAGCACACCTGCATATCATCACACTCCCAATAGACAAAAGAGGGTTTGCTAGAGCTGCGACCGTCGAGGAAGAGCCAAACCAGAAGAACATGCACCACTGTATGGGCCATTTGACCAACTACTCACTCAACAAGCGCAGACTCCAGGCTGCAATTGGAGTCGGCCTTTGCAGCCCTCGGACATGCATTATCATTCATTTAGATCCCTTTGCTAAGTCAGTGTTTCAAGGGACGGCGTAGTTTTTGAGGCACGCCCGATTTGGTTCATGCGTCCCAATCAAAGAAATTACCCAATCAATGAATGAAGAAAAATGAAGAAAATATTTGACCAATCAGAAAGGATAATCCCTACTAGTCCTCCAGTCTCCTGGTGGTCGTCGTCAGCCCATGTTTTTTCAATCAAACCTTCGCCAAGCTGGCCAACCAGCAGTACTTACAGTTGTGAACCGGCTGTGCAACGTCGACTTGCCGCCGCGGGTGGTGCAATACCATTGTGACTGGCATGCCGGGGAAGAGATGCAGCGCGTCTGCTTTCTTCCCAGTCACGGACGACTTGCTCAGTTCGTTGGAGCCCCAGATCGACCGAAGCAGCCAGCTTCCCTGATGAGACGGTAGAAAGATCAGAAAAGACTTGGCTGGTCTTATCCTGGAAGCAGTATTTAGCTTCACATTAAAGTCCGTCCGCTTCCATCTTGCAATGCAGCAGCTCATGCATTCCATGCTGCGCGCTCAGCCGGCATTTGTTGACATCCATTCCATTTGCTTCGCTTGTTCTCCCTGAGGCGCTGGGCGACCTCATGTAAATGAATGCTGATTGGTGGTCTGGACTTCCCCGCCTCCAGCACCGTCACAAGCTTCAGAGCTACATTGCAGAGATGCGTCAGCAATTGCCTGTTTTTGTTGCATTGCTGTCTTCGTTCATTCAAAATTGTCTTCGTCAACTGCACTGCGCCTTTCTGGGCTGCCCTCTTTCCGACGTTCCTGTAGAGCCTTTTCCTGATCCGCAAGTCTTGCACATGTCCACTTCTTTGACTGCGGATGGGTGATCTTCAGCTCGGCAGTATCACAGGACTGCAGCCTTTGACATACATTGCGAGCCAGCTGGAAACTTTGGGTACGGGACGCACCGTACTTTGGCCACACAATATGTCAAAGGCACAGGCCGCACTCCGTTGCGCTCGCAAGCCGATCTCTGGACTTGCCGTGCAACTGCAAGCGATGTTTGGCACAAAGGTCTTTCCAAACCTCATGGCACCCCTTCAGGCTGGAGGTTGTGGTGGAACAGATTCGCAGATTGATCTTGAGTCTTCGCGTTGTGTCTTGAGTCTTTGTGTGTTGTTGTTCTGCTTGCAGGTCTGCAGCTGCAAGGTGGAGTAGGACCTGCACCATCCTACCACCAAGCTGTTTGCTTGCCACGGCACATGCGAGCATGTCCGCATGGCTGCACAGTGGCCAAATCCCATTGGGCATGGCTGCCGTGTTGGAGCCCTACAGCCTGCTCCGGGCTGAAGGCGCTTCTGTCTCGTCTCGATCTCTTCTCTCTTTGGCCTTTGTTTGAGGCACAGCAGGTTGACGTTCGACTCCTTGCTTCTTGGGACTTGCCTACTCTGAAGGCATACTTCCGACATGTCCCTGGTGGGGCGACCATAA